GCCTTCTGCTTGAAATCCAGCGCCAGGCTTCTCCGAAAATGGGCTTTTTTAATCTCTGCCTGCACCTGGGGGAGAGATTGGAGCTGGCTGCTCGTGCCCACAGACAGCAGAACAGGCATCCCTTCCCCATGCTTTCCACTCCTAGTGATTTTTTTTTCTTTTCTTTTCCAAATCCTCCACAGAGCGGTGGATCTGAGTTTTCCCTCTGGTTATCCCAGCCTGGGAGCTGTGGTTTAATTTCCCCGACCCAAAGGGGGCTGTCACAGGGAGCTTGGCTGCTCACGCTTCCAACTTACCTCCCCGTTGCAAAAGCAGTAGATAAAAGCCACAAAGAAACCCTGCCAACAGAGACAGAGCCGGAGTTGGAGTCCTGAGCTGGGGTGCTGTACGTTGCCTCCCCCTTCCCGCAGGAGCATCGCTCCATGCTCGGAGCAGCCTCATGGCAACGTACCTGAGAGGAGTTGAAGAGCATCTCATAGTGCATCTGGATCTGCCACAGCACCCCGGAGACCTCGGTGTAGGGCATGGCCATGAACACCACGTAGTGGACTCCGAAAAGCGGCATCAGCACCAGCGTGGACTTCAGCAGCTTCCTGCCAGGAGAAACGCTCCGGGGTTTTTTCCCTGCCAGCCCGCCCGCCAGGAGGTGGTTTTGCGGCTGCCAGCACTTGCCTGTACTGCTGCCGGGGGTCCAGCTTCCCCGCGTTCGTCTCCCAGAGCTTGGAGGCCAGCACCCGGACGATGTTGAGGAAGAGGAAGAAGTTCACCTGCCAACAGACGCTCGCTGAGGTTTTGTTCCCCGCGGTGACCTGAGCTGCCCCAGCAGCCCCCCGGGAGGAGGACGAGCAGTTCTGGGGGAGCTGCAGGTGGGGACGGGGTGGGGATGCTGTGGTCCCAGTGGGGAGGGACCCATGCCCCTGGATCCCTCTGCATCAGGGGGCCCCTCCCTGGGGGCCAGGGTGGCTGAGGACCGACCCCAGGGACCACAAGTGAATGGCTCTGGGTCTGTGTCCATCCCCTGTCCCCAAAAGGGATGGGGAGATCCAACCACAGGGTTCTTACCACGATGGCAGCCAAGATGGGGACCTGATAAATCCACTTCATGTTCCCTGCACTGAGGTCCCAGCACCTGCAGAGACCAGTGAAGGAACACCTTGGAAAAACTGGCGATCCCTGGTGAGCTGATGGCTCCCTGTACCCCCCTACCATCGTCCCCGTCCTCCCACCCTCCTCCTCCCCGGGGTGAGAATTTTTTGGACTTTGCGTGAATCTGGACCCAGCAGCAGCCGTGCTACGAGCATCCGTAACTGCCGTGGCGTTGCCGATCAGTTTTAAATTAGCATCGACCTCCCAGGAGCTCCCTGGCCATCCAAAACCCTCGCTGTACGTTCTGCGGCTTTTCTCGTTTTAAAATGTTTGACTTCAGAACATGCTCTGTAGCGTTGAGCTTTGCACTGTTTGTTCATCAATTTATGGTATAAACCTGCATCCAGCTTCCTCCCAAACGCAGAACAAAGCCACTGTTGCTCTCGGTTACTGGCAAGTTTAGGAATAAGCCTTGGACGTGTGTTGATGCCTCTTGTTCTTTACAGAAAATTTTCATTTTTGAAAGTTCTGGTCCCCAGGGATTTTTTTTTTTGCCAGCATTCACAAACCAGCCTTTCCCTCTCCAAAGGACCGTCGGAGGTGGAGCTACGTACTGCGTATCCGCCAGCGAGGCCCTGACGCTGGCCCAGACGGACACAAACACAGCGGGGAGACCTGGAGGGGCAGGAACCAGGGTGAGGAGCGTGGAGGAAGCATCGCGTGTGCAGAGCGAACCAGCTCCTGGCAGCTCGTCTGCTGCCCTGATGGGTGCCACCCAACCGTGGCTGATGCCACAGCTCCCAGCTGGTCCCAGCGGCCGCAGCACTGGGTTGGGGTTCTGTGCTCACCCCAGCCGATGATGATGAGGACCCACAGGTAGTTCTTGTTGGAGAGGAAGGCCATGAAGATCAGGCTGTGCAGGTAGAGCCCTTCCACCAGGATCCAGTAGTGGTTGGTGGCCAGGAAATAGAGGAAGAGAGTCACCACCACCTTGCAGCCAACCTGTGGGTGTATGGTCAGGGACGTGCCCCTATCGGGCTGTCCCCTGGGAGCAAAACCTGGTGGCTTTGGCCCTCTGGCCACCAAAACCCTGGCTTTGCCCCACAGGCAGCTCCCTTCCCTCCTCTTGCAGGGACCCACATCCCCCTGGGATATTCCAGCAGCGGCCATGGAGCAGGTATTTCCCGAACCAGGGCGCCCTGAGCTCAGACGGGCTGTGAGACCTGTGTCCTCTGCGGCTCCGATCTTGACTGTGGCACCAGGACATGGAGCAGCTGGATGGGGCTGTGGGTGGCCTTCATCCCTCCCCACCTTCATCACCCCTGAGCAGCCCAGCCCGGCTCCAGGAGGGTCCCATGCGTGCCCCAGGCACCAGGACACCCCAATCCCCTTTTCCCCCGATCCTGCCTCTGGTCTCGGCGCATCACTTGCCAGGTGGCTCCGTTGTCCCGGCGAGGGTCCCATTTCTGCCTTGAAGTCGTCCTCGCGCATCTTCTCCGTCTCGCTGGCCAGCGTCCCCGAGTAGAGCACCATGTCCTTGACGAAGATGCTGGCTGCCCGGCAGATGAAGGAGGCGAAGAGGTGGACGTGGATGTAGTTGCGGGTGCAGTGCAGGCGCCTACAGAGAAGGGACGCGACACCAGCCCGGCCTCGGCTGCCCGACAAACCCGTCACACGCGGGCTCAGGCAATGGGGGGGACCCAGAGAAGGTGAGCCCCAAGGTGTCAGCCCTCCTGTGGGCACAGAAACCGGGTCTGGGGGCAAGTGGGGTGTCAGCTCCTTCAAGAGCAGGGTGGAGGGGATGGGGAACTGGTCATACTGGGGGTGTTTGGGAGCTTTGGGAAATGGGCTGGTGTCTGTGCTGGGGTTTGGGGCTGGTTCCCCTTCCTAAGGGGCTGCTCCCACGTGGGGTGTCGTGTGTGTCATGGGGAGAAGACGGTTCTCCCCCACGGGGATGGGGACCAGCTCCTCCTTACTTGAAGTAGGAGAGGATGCAGACGGCGACGACGAGGGAGGCCAGGGAGATGGAGTAACCAACAGTGTACATCAGGTGCAGGCGGTCAAACACCTCCTGGAGGAGAAGGGCTGAGCTCCACCACCTCTCTGCAGCCCAGGATCCCCCTTTCCCCCCCCCAGCCTCCGGGCTGAGAGCATGGGAGGAGCAGGGGAGTGGTTGGGAAGAGTCCCATCCCCATCCCGACCCCTTTTCCCGACACCTCCACCGAGCAAGGTCACCTTCTCGCGGCTGCGGCTCTGGGAGGAGAAGAGCAGAGCGCATTCGGTGTAGTTGGCCCAGGTCTTGTTGCTGCTGAGAGCCACAGCCCAGGTCCCGTCGGCGCTGCAGTACCTGTAGGCATGACCTGGGGACGACGACGGGCGCTGGGACGGCGGCAGGACACGCAGGGAGCCCCAGCACATCCCTGCTGGGTGGAGGAGCAGCACCGAGGTGAGGTTGCTCCCTGCCCGGGCGCTTACCGTGATGGTTGAAGTCGTAGATGTAGTCGGGGCAGGGCACCGTCACCTCCTGGCTCGGGGAGCCCTTGGGCCAGCAGATGATCCCGTCCCACTCGGGAAGGCAGCTGGAGTCTGGCCAAGGAGCAAAGACACGTCTCACTTCCGTGTTCCAAACACGGACACGGTGGAACC